TAATAAATCATTCATTAATTTTTCCAGTCTCAGAATACCGCCACTAACCTTGTTTGCATCTGGAAGAATAGTGCTTTAGCCATTCCTACTCCTCTCAGGCATGCAGACCAGGTAGGGTTTCACCCCACTGATAGAGCAATGCCTACCCTAACAGTATACCTGAGGCAAGAACGCACATGCTATGGTACACAGACACTGCACTGTGCGCCTCTTCAAATAGTCCCTGGTTTAGAAAACAATAGATAGTATGAATGGAAAACCACTTGGCAAAGTGGAGAAACATGAACTCAGTATTTAAGAGTGAACTCAGAAGCTGCCAAACGGGATATGGCTTGTGGATTGATGTCCCTACTATATCTTCATATAACCAGGAATCTGACAGCTGTTCATATGTCACCCCGCACATTCTGCTTCATTGCAGGCTGGGCCTGATGGTCGTTCAGAGGAACGTCCGCAAGTTCCTGCAGCTACGCTACTGGGGCTGGTGGAAATTATACAACAAGGTGAGAGAAAAACCCCTAGAACCAAACCACCACCCAGTACTCAGAGTCAGTGGGATGAAACAGAGGCAGCTGCAGGCACTGAGAATGGGTGGGGATGCTGGGTTTTGAAGATAAGAGGTGAAATAAAAGAACAGCCTTGTTCATTTACTCAGCGCTGGGTAAATATGCTCTCAGTGCCAGCTACTTTCTTGTTAATAATTAAATAGGGCAAGGAGCATGAATGATTTCTTCCACATCGATGCCTGAGGAGGGCACTTTGTAATCTTAGTCTAAGCCTGCTGTTTCCAGGATATAGGAATGTGAACCTTTAGGAGGTTCAGACCTCGGATCTCTCTCCTTGAGCAGGGTGACGAGGTGCTGAACACAGATCGTTACGTTCGAAATTCTGGGAGAAATCTTTTCGGGCCATTTCTTTGCTGCCTCGGCAAGACAGATCCTAAATAAGACAGGTGAATGGAGTCTTTCTGAGCCTCTTCCACCTGCGGTGGGTTAGTCGGACTTCACTTAGTCCTGTGATGCAAGATGAAGACAGCATCTGTGCCCTCAAAGGGACCACAGTAGTATGTGAAGTATGGTGTGCCTGCTTTGTGTGTGCCAGGCCCCAAAATGGGCCTAATGTAGCTGCCTTTGTGCCAGTGAAGAACTCCGAAGGAGAGGGGAGACAGGCACATCCCAAGGACTTCCCCAAGGTGCCTGGCTTGCATCCATTTTAGGATGTAGCATATGCTGAGTTCAGCCCACTGAGGAGCAAAGAGCCTTCAAAGGACATTGAGTCAGACTCTGACCTCAGCTACAGCGGTACACATCCATAGTACCTCTATTGCAGTCAGTGGAGTTCCTTTGAATTTATGCCATTGTAAATACTCTCAAAATTGGCACATTGTCCTGATGTCTCTGCTGGGACTCTGCCTTACTATTGTTTATAGTGACAGCCCTTCCTAAAAGTCACATCACTCACGCTACTGATGCAGCAGTCTGCACCAAAGCAGGCATTTCAGAAGCCTCCTGGCCCGTTTCCATGGGTTGAAATACTTGAATGGAGCATAACAGTTGAATGACACTTGGCAGCATGCAGGAGAAGTAACTGAAAAGGAGATCTGTTTGTGAATCTCACTGCTTGAATTCCTCCCTTCTAGGTGAAGCCTCTGCTGAATGTGGCCCGACAGGAGGAGGAGATGAAGCTGAAGGAAGAGGAGCTGAGAAGTGCCATGTCCAAGACTCAGGAGCTTGTTGATCGTGTCAAGGAGCTGGAGGAGAAGACTGCCACCCTCAGCCAAGAGAAGAATGACCTCACCATCCAGCTGCAGGCCGTGAGTTATCCAACCAAGGGTAGCTGCAGACTATGTCTTCCCCTTGTGTTTGCTTGAGCTTTTCTAGTGGCTACAAAGGGCTTGTCTTAAGACTCTGGGATGAGTCAAGAGCAGTGGGAGACAGCATGTGACAACCCCGGAGAACCACTATATACCTCAGAGGAACCCATGTATCCAAAACAGCAGGAGGAAGGTTGCCTAGTTTCACAGTTTCTAAGGTGGGAAGGGACCTGAACAGATCATCAAGTCCAACCCCCTGTCTTGGGCAGAAGTGAGTGCTGGGATCATAATACCCTAGCCGGATATCTATCCAACCTCCTCTTGAAGACTCCCAAGGTAGGGGAGAGTACCACCTCCCTTGGGAGCCCATTCCAAAGCCTGGCAGCCCTAACTGTAAAGTAATGCCTCCTGATATCAAGCCTGAACCTGCTCTTTGGGTGAATCTGATATCTTTTATTAGAGCAATTTAAGCAGTTGGAACAAAAAAATAAATAGCAAGCATTTGGGTTTAAAAACCCTTCCTCAGGCTGAGGAAGTCTCTGCAGTAGGTGTGTGACCAGTAGACACACTCCTGAGCATGCCATAGGTATGCCTCTATTCCCAGGTGCAAAGCATATATTCTTTTAATGAAATCCTGCCTCAAATTGGCAGGGATTACAGCTCTGTTACCTTCATGCCAGATTACATCTTGGGTATAGCTCATCCCTAACCTACCAGTGAGGAATGATTTCCTGGGGCACCTGCTCCTAGCAATCTGGCCACCCCTGGAGTACAATTCATGTCACAGTCTCTAGCTATTCATCCAAATCTGTGCTCCCCCAAAGACTCCCTTTGGAGATGCAGGCACACATACTGCAGTGCACTGACAGATTCAATCTAGTGTTTCACAAAGCCACATGTGATGTACTCTGGAAGGCTGGCCCTGCTCAGAGTATCTGCTACAGCAAAGGACTCCTGACATCCCTTTCTACCCTGCCCACTGATCCTTATTGTGGCCTTTGGCAAAAATTACCGAGGGCAAGATTTTCAAAAGTAGCTTTGCATTTGAGAGGTGCCTGACTGGTCATCACTGATGTCTAAAGATGCTGAGCAAGCAGAGCTAACATCAGCAAGCCTTCAGTGATGGGAGAACAGTCAGGAGCTCCAGCAAACAGCCCCGGTATCTCTTATAATTTAACCTCTGCAGCCACGAGAGACCTCTAACAAGACAAATGCTGCAATTCCATCTCTCCACTAGGAACAAGAGAACTTGAATGATGCTGAGGAGCGTGTGACCCAGCTCATGAAAACTAAGATGGACATGGAGAGCCAGATCTCAGATATGAGAGAGCGCCTGGAGGAAGAGGAGAGTGCAGCCAGCAGCCTGGGTGCCAACAAGCGCAAACTAGAGGCTGAGCTCAATGATCTGAAGCGTGACCTGGAGGGACTGGAAACCACCTTGGCTAAGACTGAGAAAGAGAAGCAGGTATAAAGCATCATCTGCATCTGAAGTTCTCATTTCCTCATGTTAAAAACTAGGGGAAAGAAACCACCCAGAAATTTTTTTGTTGTGTAAGTGCCTATTGATAGGTTAGCGTCAAAGCTCTCAGCTAATCCCTGCCTGATGTTCTTTCTTGAATATCCTCCAAACACCCGTCATTCCTTGTCGTGGAAAGGGACGGATCTGAAGCTGTACCCCCCTCCTTCCTTGAAGGAATAATTTCTCTGTAACTTGCAGGAATCCATCCAGAGCAATGATTTTCAACCTGTGGTCTGCAGACCCCTGTGGGTCTGCAGGCTGTGCTTAAGGGGTTCATGAAAAATGACTATGATCAATCAAAAGTATGTGAATACACACACTTACAATTCAAAGGGGTCCACATCTCCATTTGAAATTTTTTAGGGGTCTGCAAATGAAAAAATGTTAAAAGGTTGAAA